AAATAAAATAAAATAAAATAAAATAAAATAAAATAAAATAAAATAAAATAAAATAAAATAAAATAAAATAAAATAAAATAGAATAAAATAAAATAAAATAAATTAAAATAAAATAAAATAAAATAAAATAAAATAAAATAAAATAAAATAAAAAAAAATAAATTAAAAATAAAACGAAATAAAGTAAAAGAAAATGTATAAAATAAAAAAATTAAATTATAAACAAAATAAAATAAAAAAGTTTAAATAAAATAAAATAAACTAAAATGCTATATAAGAAATAAAATAAAATGGAATAAAATAAAGTGGAGAAAAAATAAATAAAAAAAAAATTATTTGAAAATGTTTTAAAAAATTAATAAAATAAAATGAAATAAAAAATTTATCAAAGAAAAAAATATGTATTTAAATTAAAAAATTTCCAAAAATGTTTAAAATAAAATATTGTAGAAGAAAAAATGAAACAAAACTAATTGAAAAAGAGAAAAAATAAATAAGGTATTTAATAAAAAGATCTCTACCAAATGTACCGGAAACTCTGTTCGCTGCCCAACGAGCGCATGCGTACACACATGAGCGAAAAACGCGTTAAAAGCAAAGAAAAAACCTAAAACTTACAAAACGAGAACCCTGAATTGACAAATAAAAACCGAATTAAGAAATACAAAACCAACATACGAAGCCATTAAAAGTTACTTTAGCACGCATTTCACTATCAAAACAAAACAAAAAACTGAAATGCAAATTAAAATTCAAAATTATTACCTATATAAATGCATAAAATAGACACATATATGTATAAGCAAAAGAAAGCAAAGTTAGGCTATCACATTTGCGCTTGCGCACGAAGTGAGCCGCAAAAAGCACTGCGCGGCATAGGCGAAGCTGTAATTAAGCGCGTAAAATTCATATACTAGGCTATAGTTCACTGTTCGTTACAAACATAAAAAATAAAAACAAATTTGAAAAAAAATAATCATAGGTTAAAGAGGCAAATTTTTCAGCGCTATAAATTTTTCTAGTAAGTAATGGCTGTTCTTTATCGTTTTGGTTTCACTTTTTTAAGGAATTTTGTTTTTTTTTTAATGACTCTTTATCAACTTGACATTGAAGGAGTGCTTGTTGCTG